TGAGAAGATTAAAAAAAAAACAGTTAAGTGCTGCTGTGGCTGTGGTGAAAAGGGAACTTTCCTACACTTGGTGGAAATTCACATTTGTACAGCCAATATGGAGAACAATATGAAGGTTCTCAAAGATCTACAAATAGAACTACTATATGATAAAGCAATTCTTCTCCTGGGGATCTAAGCAAAGGACAGGAGAACGCTCAGTCAGAAAAGCACTTGCACATCTATGTTTAGTGTGGCATTATTCACAATTGCTAAGACATGGAACCAACCCAAATGTCCATTAACAGATGAATGGATTGAAAAAGTGTGACAGGAGTCCTCCATGGGAGCTGAGATCTAGTGCTTCCAGGGAATGAGAGAAATGAAGATTCTCAGCTGAGAAGTCACCCTGAAGAGGCAAAAAGGGCAGACCTTTAGAAGAAGACTGAGTCTTCTATGGGAGTTTTCAGGGAATTAAAAAAATGAGTCCTCCTCTAGTGCTTTTGGGGAATAAGAGAAATGAAGATTCTCTGTTGAGAAATCACCCTGGTAGAGCCCCCTCTATCCTTCTCTGTCTCTGTCTCTTCCAGTCTCTCTCTATCTGTCTTTACATTTTTTTCTTTTTCTTTTCTTTGGAGAGGTTTTTGCTATAGGTCAAATCAAAGACTCACAGCAGGAGACTGGAGTGAGCTTCTATGGCAAGGTCCCTGGCCTAGAAGTCCCTGCAGATCCTCTCTGCAGTGAGGGGACAGTAAGAGCCCGGGAAGCAGCACAACTGCCACGAAAACTGAGCCTGCTGTACCTTTATGCCATGTTCATCATAGGGACCTGGGACCTGTTTACTTTTCCTCAAACACTTACTTTAAGGCCCAGTGACCTCACTCTTACTATCAACCCCTATGTCAACTAGCAAACACTTTGTGTTAACAGATAAAAAGGATGCTTCCTGCAGTAAATGATCAACTCTAAGATGATCATTTCAGATTCAGGCAATTCCAATGCTCATCAACCACCCCACAGGTGTAAATTAGACCCGGCTTCCAAACACCCACAGCATGCTGCTTACTACTGCGTACAACAAACTGAGTATTTATGTCTCCTCGATATTCCCATAGGGATAATTATAGAAAGTGAGTCTTTGGGAAGTGATTAGGTCATGAGATGGGGCTCTCATAATGAGGAGTGTCCTTACCAAGCTCTGAAGAGAGTGGAGTTCTTTCCTTCCACCCTAGGAGGGCAGCACAAGTAATCATCTATGAACCACATAGCAGGCCCTCGAAAACTGCACTTGAATAGCCTTAGTCAAATAGTTCATAGTCAAACCTGCCAGTGCCTTGATCATGCCACTCTCAGCCTCCAGAACTGTGAGAAACAAGGGTCTGCCGTACACACACTCGAAAGCCACATGTGGCCCAGCCTGGCTGCGCAGTCAGTAACAAACTGAATTGCAGTTCTGAAAGCCCCATGGTCGACTGCAGATTCAAATCCCTAGACTGGCCTGCAAACGGTGGGTGCATTTATGCATGCCAAAGATCCTGATTTTCTGGAGGGGATCATGGCCCAATTAGACACTGTTAAGGAGATCTCTCTTTCTCGCTCTCTCCCTCTCTCTCTGTCTCACTCTGTTTTGTATGCATACACACTATCATGAATAAAATACATTTAAACATTTTTAAAACCACACAGTTTACAGTATTTTATTACAGTGTCCCTAATGAACTAAGACACTTGAAATAATTTTAAGTAAACTACCACATAAATAAAATAATAATTTGACCCAGTGCCAACTTGCGATTATCATCAAGTGTTGTCTCCTTTTTTTGTTCTCCAGCATAAAACAACTATGATGGCCCCTGCAACTGTATCCAATGCCCTAGTTTCTGTCAGAACCATGGAGATGAGTATAATCTGTCATTCTAAGTAATCTTTCCAATCTGATCTGTGTTAATATAATCACTCAACATCCACAGTTGACATTAATATGTGACTACTTTGTGTATAGTCTTGCTTATTAAATATTTGACTAACATGATTATGGGATTGTGATACTCTGTTCCTAGTTGAAAATATTCTTGAAATAAGAGATTTTACTTTTAAAAATGAATATGTATATACACTACATATTTACTTTTCTATAATAATATGATAATTCTACCATTTAAAAAGTCACAATACTGGCATAGTGGTTAAAGCATTAAATTCCCACGTCTGACCAGGTTTCTTGAAAATCGCACTGTACACACGTGAGTGCACAAAATCCCAGGAGTAAAGTGAAGGAGAAGGGATTGTGGCATGGCCATACCCCCTACGAGGTGAGTTCTCATTTTCTCTGTCTCCTCCTCTATGATCATGAGAACATGCACCGTATGAAAAAAACTTAGATTAAAAGAAAAATGCTTGGGGGACCAGCAGTTAGCGTAATGGCTATGTTGCTGAACTCCCATGTAGTCAACTGCAGTTCAAGTCCTGGACCTGGTGGCTTAAACTCACGCCAGGCACGTGTGTGTGCGTGCCCAGGATCCCGAGAGGAGAATGGAGGAGAAGGCATTGTGACATGGCCATCCCTGGTGGGGGTGATTTCTTGCTTTCCATCTCTCTATCTCTCTCTGTCTCTCTAGCGAGGTACATGCGCCTATAGCAAAAAGCTCTCAAAAAAAAAAAAAAAACTTGAGAAAGTATCAAAATGAAAGAAAAAAACCTCAAGTGTCATCATTGAGCTAGAAATTGGTTATTTTAGAATATACATCCTTCTAGACTTTTATTTATTATTATTGATTTACAGACTGTTTATACAGAGCATAACTTTGTATGTGCTATAATTTGAATTTCTGTCAACTCACATACAAATTTACCTATAGATAACTTTAGTTTAGAAAAGGATTTGGAGAGTAGATAGTAAATTTAGTTATTTCATATTGTTAGTGAATTACAACTTTTATCAAAAAAAATGCCCTTTTCATAAAAATGTAGAAAAGAAGGAGCATTTTTATTTATTGAGTAAACAGAACTAAATCCAGGAAGAAATTTCAAGTGATTTATGTATCCAAATAGAAATGGACCTTTTCTTTTTTTAATGTGAACATTTTATCCTGCATTATTTTTTGCAAGTATATAGCACAGTTCCCTAGAATCAGCATCTTCCTGGTTTTCATACAGAATTTCAGCATAGGTTGTGATCACATCCTGACCTTTGCTGTACCTCTCTTCAGGTTATGCTCACTTGGGATGGGCTAAGAACCCTCTCATCTCCCTGAGAAGAAATGATTGTAGACATGATAGGAACCTGGGTAGAAATGGTTGTGGACAGGACAGGCCCTGGGTTAAGCAACCCAGGAGTCAGGAAGCCTGAAGCTCTATCTTTCTGGGTGTTTATATTTCAGAAGAGATAGAGCCTGGGACCAGCAGATGGCCTGATGGTTATGACACTGGACTCTCACGTAGTTGACCATGGCTCAAGTCCCAGACCTGGAGACTTAAACTGATGTAGGACATATGTGTGTGTATGCCCAGAATCCTGAGAGGAGAATGTAGGAGATGGGATTTCAGCAAGGCCATCCCTCCCAGGAGTGATTTCTTTCTTTCTGTCTCTCTCTCTCTGTCTATCCAGAAAGCGCATGTACCCTATAACAAAAATCTCTCTAAAATAAAAAGAGATAGAGCCTGAAGGCTTGGAGACTTCTCTTGGTGGCAAAACTGCAATGGCCCTTGGAGGGGGTCTAGAGAAAGGCTTAGAGAAAGGACTCTGGCCCACTTGTTTTCGAAGAAACATTCTAAGTGAACATTTTTTAAATGGACTCTTTTAAGTTTATAAAAACAGAAGGAATTCAGCCTTATTGATTCCTAAGTTATACAGACTACACAATTCAATTGTTCCTGAAATAATTTTGGTTTTGGTTGCCTGATACAAACAGTAGATTTAATTAGTCAGAGAAAAAAGCAGCTAATTTCCGAGCATTAGTTCTCGCTGCGTAAGCTCGCTTTCTAATACTAACCCACACTATCTCTTTTTCTCTCACTCTTTCTCCCGTAAGCAACTGTTTTGGCCCCTGCAACTGCATCCAAAGTAGTTTCTCTATTTTTCCCTCTTCTTTTAGAGATAGGGCTGAGTACAGAAACAATGTGGTTTTAATCAAGAACATTTTCAGATTTGAATCTTACTCAATAACTTGCTAGTGTGGTAGAACTTGATGACTTTAGGAAGACATATTACCCTGTTTCTGATCCTTCCTCCTCCTGGGATAATGCAAATAGTAAACACCCTGCATCAGGAAGCAGTATTATGAGGTTAAAATGATAACTATAAAGAATATCCCCCAAAAAGCAATTGATAATTACAAAACATTATTATTGCTGCTGTTTACTCAGTGGAGAGGAATTTTAGTGAAATGGTTCGTAGCGTAGATTTTGGAGCAAGATTTCTTACATTCAAATATCTTACTCGGTAGTTCTGTGATTTTAGCAAGTTATTAAATCTCTCCATAATATTGTGGTAAAAATATTTGTGGTAAGAAAAAGGTGGGATAAAGTTATCACTGAGTCTGAATCAAATGTGCAATAAATGGGAGTTAGCCCTACAATTATTTATTATTTATTAAATGCTAAGAGTTCAGGACGTTGGCTAGGTGCTAAGAATTCCAAATTGTATGTATAAGACGTGGACATTCCCTCAGGCACTTACAGTCTGCACTACCACACGTGAGTAACCAGATCCATTGAGAATTGAGTCTAATATTGAATGTAATTGGACCTTCAAAAAATGTTATATGAGACTTTTTCATCTCTATGCTTCTCAAACTGGTTCCTAAACATGAGATAAATGGCATTATTTGAAATGATTTAACGAAGCTCTTATTGTTGCAAGCAGTCTCTATGGTATCCTACAAAGGTTCTACTGGAGAACTGGTGTCAAACCTTTACATCGGCACAGTTCTCATCCACTCCTTTTATGGTTGTAGAGTAATGGTCTTAGCTTTAGCACTTTCAGTTTCACATTAGTCTTTTTTTTTTTTTCTTTGGCAAAGGCTGTTTTTTTGTTTCATCTTCGCTGATGTCTAATCGTCAGGTCTCTGAAGAAGATTTGGAAAGTCTCAGGACGCAGAAGGGGTGAAGTAAACACCCAAAGTTCCAGTGAGAGAGAAAAGTGGGAGAAAGCAGAGCAGCAAAATGCAGAAGAAAGAGGAAGAGGACAAGCATTCCTGAAACTTTGCTATCGAAGCTGCTTTCTTCTCCACTCTGAAGGTACCCTGCTCAGAGTAATACTGGGGTTGGACAGGGGACAGGAGGGGCTTAAAAGGCTCAGCTACTTTTCTCTATGGTCATCATTTCCAGATAGGCTGCAGCTGAGCCTGAGGCAGGACACACGTTCTGATCAATCCTGCCTTTTAAGACTGGAGCATTCCCTTTCAATCCCTTTGGCTCCTGCTGGGTTGAAATGGGTTCCTTCAAAGGTAGAGCCTAAGTCTGGAGTTAGGAATGTTTTAAGAGTATTTCCTCCCTCCCACTGCTTTAAACTATCTTTATCTTTAATTCTATCTGCTTGATAAAACTTAGCCTTCATTTCCTCATTAATTGCCAATTTTTGTAGCCCGAGTAAACAAAGTCACGGGGGGGCTCTGTAAACTGAGTCGAGTGACTCTAATTTGGGAGTTTATAAAATCTTTGTGCAGTCACTTTCTCCAACCCGGTCACTGATTGATTACCATTTTATGAGCATAATACCGGATGTTATACTGTATCACTTCGAGGTACAGGGATTGAGACCCTGAAGTGAAGGCATGACTGAAGGAAGACTTCATTCTTTTCAACTTTTTTAAATTGTTGAAATTATCGAATTGTCAAGCCCTGGTTAAAAACGATATGTCTCTAATTATAAATATAATACAGCTGGTCTACCTATCTGTCACTTCAGCATCCACAGATTTCAGCAACTGTGGATGCAGCCAGGTTCCCCTGATTGCTACAAAATGGAGGAAATAGAAATAGCTGGAGAAGTTTATCAACATATTTTCCTTTTCACTATGTCTGATGCTAAGATTACTGATAAGGGATGCAGAGGCTATTCAATTGTATAGGAGGATTGTGTAGGTTATGTAGAAATACTGCACCATTTTATATAAGGGAAACGTACCAGTGGATACTGAGGGATGACTGTACTGTAAGTACAGCAGAGTTCAGAAAGAAAGAAAGACGAAAAAAAAAAAAAATCCTAATTCATAATGATGGTTTCAGTGCTTGGGATAACTAGACGCTATATGCAAACTGATATACATGGAGATAACTAAAAAAAAATCTATCTTAAAGCAGAGAGAGCCCAAAAGTCTGATAGGATAATCAAATCAATAATCAATGGACCAAATGTTAGATTTGAGACATCAGGCTTGAGTGAAAAACACATAAATGCTGATACATAGCAAAGATTAAGAACCAGCGAGTGGGTAGAAAGATGTAGATCAGAGGGCTTCCTGTGACAGGAGTGAGAGGAGAAAATCACCAGGGAGCCTGAGTCCCATGATCTAAACCAGACCCTGTCCAAGAATGAGCTTGGAAGAAACCGGGGCTAAGTTTGGGTTAGAATGGCATTTGTCTTTAAAGTAGAAATATATATTTGAACATTTTCAAGATGAAGGCTGCATATTCCTGCAAACTTGAGTTCAGAAAGCTCAGCTTTGTTCATACAAAGCTTCTTAGAGAAATTTCGTAATTAAGTTAGAAGATATGAGACATCTCGGAAATATTTTATTTTCTGGAAAATGAGACACAAGATGAACCAGTGAGAATGCAATCTAGAACACCCTTCTGAAGAGTCATTTGACAGTATCTAACAAAATTATATACCCTTCTCTTTTAATCCAGCAATTTTGTTTGTCCAAATCTTAGGAAATTGCACCTATAGCAATATGAAAATACAGCTACAGAAGGTTAGCAGAATTATTCATTGCAGCATGGTTTCTAACTGCAAAATATTAGAAATGATCTAAATGTCCATACTTAGGAGAGTGGTTGGGAATATGTGTGCTATATATCCACATAAAAGAAGAGTTGCCAACAAAAATATTTGAGAAAAAAAAGAAAAACAAGAATTGATATGGAGTGATTTCCACCTGTCTATACCAAGTGATCTTTATACTAGAAAACGTGAAAAAAGAAAATATTCATGCATCTGTACAACTGTGCAAAAGAAATCCAAGCAGGATAAACCAAAAACTGACAAGATTGGGTGTCTACAGAGGATGGGTAAGAATCAGATGGCAGAATAAAAAAGTGAAATGGAGTGGCCAGGTGAAAAAGTGACATTTCTCTGAGTACATTTTTTGTAAAACTCTAATTCTTAGAACAAGGATGTTTCATATACTCAAAAAATAAATGCATGGAAAAAAAAAGAAAAAAAATAAATAAATGCATGCTCAATCACGATTCTGAGATAGGAGGTGGCTGAAACAAAATGCAAATAGAAACAAATGAATGTAACTGCCTAACAGATGAATAATCTAATCATACTGAAGAGGTGGAGAAGGAACTAATCTAAGCACTGGAACCTTGCTAGTACCAAAGGTAATAAAAGATTAAAAAAAAAAAAAAAGAATAAGGAACTATCAAAGATGAGAGATTATGGGAAAATGACTAAATGGAATGAAGGATCTGGGATTGGTTCCTGGAAAGGAAAATGCATTAGTGGGAAAGTGGCAAAATGTGACTGAGGTGTGTTTGTTAGTTAATAGCATACCGATGGTATGGTATGGTTTCAGTCACTTTGTATGGTTTTGTAAGAGACAACATTAGAGGAAGCTGGAAAAACGATATATGGGAACTCCCTTGTACTCATTGTGCAATTTTTTTTGTAGGTCTATTTCAAAACAATGATTTTTTTTTATCATCATAATCTTCTTTATATTACATTGGATTACATATAACTTTACATTGACTTCCATTGCTTTTTTTTTTTTTGGAGAGATTTTCACTGTAGGGCGCGTTGACTTCCATTGCTTTTTCAAAAGGGAATGCCATGCATGTCAGTCAATACAGAGGCATCGATCTCCCCGCTTTATCATTCAAAGTCTTTTCCATGCATTTCCCAATAATTATTATTATTTTTGTTTTGCAAAACAGTCAATCACTATTTCTCATTTTGCTTGTTAAAAGACTTCACCCATCATGAAATACTTCCCAGACCAGTCCAGTTGAGAATACTATACACATCATCAACAGATAATAAACCATATCTGCTGTTTCTCACTAACATCCTGCCTCTCTATTGTTCACTTGCTATCTTTCTCTATCCTCTTCTTTTTTTTATAGTTTATTTTTTATTATAATTTTTTTTCCCCATCACAACACACAAATGAATTTTCCATCCAAAATACACTGTGCATTG